CTAACCACTGTTACCGTTTGCGATTGATTTCCGGTTCGATAAGAGTGATGATGACCGACGCGCTGTTGTCATGTGTATCTTATATATTCAATTTAATGAAACTTACTTACTTACTGACTACAAATTTTGGCTTAACTTAGAAAAACTTAATGCCATTTATTTGTTAATTACTCAATTTAAAAACGTTTTAGATTAGATTATAAAAATTAGTAAGATTGTGGTGATTATGGTCGTTATAAAGCACTTAAAGTTGTAAACTATAAAGCCATTTAGACAAAAATCTATTGACTTTTGGACCATGGGTCGTATGATCTTTTTGACTTGTTTAGATCCCCCCCCCCTATTACCCACTTCAATAATGACTACCATAACGTTTACACCTTGTATATACAATATACACTGAAAACCAAATTTGTTCAATCAGTTTAATGTGTACGAGAGAGAAGTGTGTATAGACACATATGTTAGAAAGAGATAGAAGCCGAATTTTAGCATAGTTATAGATTAGCCCTAGGATACGGACATACTCTTTGTTGCGAAAATAAAACTTGAAGGGGTTGATATAAGCTGAAAGTTACAATAGGGAAACTATTATGCTTCAAGTTAAAGAAACAAATATGGGTTTTGTATATTTGGTTCTTTGATATAATGTAAATGGGCATTTACAAAGAAATTTTGGAAATTCCACTCGTAAGGGATGAAGTAGGGGTTAATACTCTCGAGGCTGAAGAATCTAGAATATTCAAATTAGGCCAGCCTACAAGGAGGAGCATGTTTTGTGTAAAATAAAGTAAGTAAAGAGTTCCAGAAATTGTATCCTTAGGATGGGAAGGAGGGGGTTGAATATTTCTGAAGCTTCTTTCGAAAAATATTTAACCTATGAACACGAAATTCAGCAGAAAGATACTTTATGGACAGGACTTGTCAGCTTAGAACGGATTTCAAGACAAGGCTGGATCAAGAGGGGGCTAAGCTCGAGAACTATTTGATCTAACAACATGAAATTAGATTGAAAGGTAGCTTTTGGACATTACGAAAAGGTTTAATAGATATGATTTATTATAAGTAAAATACTGAACTGGAGAATTGCTTGATAACTTGCTGATAGTCTATCAGGTTTCAAGCGACCACAAGTTTTTTCGTAGGTCCAATAAATACAATGTATGAGCTATGTTACTTTCTTAGTTTCTGCTGACCTTTGCATGTATCTAGTGTATTGCATGATATTATATCTGCCTATAGGCACATGGATAAGTGCAGTCCCAAGTTGCTGCTTACATAAGGGCTGCTTCAGTTATGAGAGCTTAATTCACTTCACCAGGGGAGTTGAGTTTTGAGCACGTGTTTTCCTATAGCTGAAACGTTCAACAGTTCGTAATTCAGCCATGGGAACATACAGGGTAAATGTTTTTCTAATTCCAAACTAAGTTGATTTCAAACATTTTTTTTGGCTCGGGCTGATTTCGCCGAGAGTGAAGAGCATAATGCGGGTAACCGAATCGATCGCCGCGCACGCGTTATACAAAAAGGAAAACATCATCGGACCACCGACGATATATAGAGGATATCCTCTGCCGTTCATTCAAGATTACGTATCTATTTTCCAACATTGCTTGGTTGCCAAGGAGCATAGACGACTGGTGGGGAACTGACTGCCGCGAGGGAAAGAACGACATTCTAACCAGATGCGTATCAAAATGAAAATACTACCTCATGGTTATTACGTAAAAAACCTATATAGTGTCAAAAAACCGATAAAATGACAATTTGTTGACTAGGTAGTTGGTAGTATGCAAACAGTTCATTCCGCGCCTGCTACAACTGAGCATGAAGGAAGCAGCAGCTAGTTTCTGGTTGACATCTTTTAGGAAAACCTACATAATGTCATAAAAAACCTACATAATGTCAAAAAAAATCGATATAATGTTACGTAGTACCCCAGGCGCACTTACTTTAACACATTTTGGAAACCGATTATATTTCTCGAATCCCAAAGGAGATATGTACCTATACGCATATTCTTGTAAGCTCAGTAGGCGTTCTAAAAGAATAAAGGAAATGTAAAGTTAAAACACCTATTTTGAGTAAAATCATAGTCATCGGACGGCCTCCCCATGCCACTGGAATTCCTAACCTAAAATGTTTAAGTTTACTTACCAGTGAAAAGATACGCCTCGTGCTTCTGGCTGCTGACTGAGGGTATACCTTGCACACACAACATTGCCGCACCATGGTCAACAGAAAAATAATTTAAAAGCAAAAAATTTCAGTTTCCACATGTACAATAAAGGTAAATTATGAATGAAACTTCTCGTAAAGTGAGTCGAAGTTCAAGTCAGGTATCGTAACGAACCTAGCATTACCTAATCTCACGCAAGGTCTTGTTTACGATATTCGTTCGAACACTTTTTCAGATTCATGATCGCCGCGGGAGCAACCTGTTTGGACGCGTATACAGCGTGTGAGGTTAGTAGTGGATCAACGGAAGTCAGGTGATAGAGGGCCTTAAAACCTATCGAATGAACCCCTATATGTGTGGTCCGAAATTTTATGGTTCAGGAAATATTTGCAATTTTGTGAAATTTCGAAAAAAACGAAATAATGGACTTTTAATCGTAATTACAACTAAACCATTGGGTTTAGGGATGTGGTTTCTTTTAGATGAGCTAAATGGTTAGCTTTAGCAATGGTTATGTCACTGTTTAACAAAGCTAATTAGAAATCAACGCAAAAAATCTCAAATTCATTTTTTTGTGAAAAATCTCCATTCCATTCCTTAACTTTGGAGGGCGGTAAAAAGATTGAGGTTGCATTTCATTATTAATCTTATTGTAAAAACTATTTCAATCCATGTAGAATAAACCCAGAAAATTTCTGCTTGCTACGATGAGTGTATCATGTCACATTCGTTGTTGTGATGCAATAAACGTAAGTACTGTTTTTTTCGTTGTCTGTCAGAGCTGTCCGTAGGACCTTGACTTTTGATTAAAGTATCGTAAGTCAGAAGGTGCTAAATGTATGTCATTTTCGTTAGTACGAGTTTTCTGCACCCACCGACTAGTTCAATTATTTTTTTAGAAACCAAAAGGCTAATTAGTGATTAGTGCGAATACAAAGGAGTTGTATACATTGTATTTATAATAATGTCTAAACACTATTTGTGGAAAGCTAATTAGCCTCAACAAAACTCATAATAACCAAAAACTCATGCAATTAACTATTTATCGAGCTATGAGCATTGGGAAGGTATACTCTGGAACACCCTGTATACCCATGAAATCGTGGAAGGTACAATGTTTCCAAAGAAGCGGCAGTAGCATGTGCATTTTTTAATCTTGTTAAAAGTAACGAGCTTGTACGCACGGCGATGAAAAAGTAGGTCGCGGGCGGCGGGACTTTTGAGGCTTCTCTGTGATGTAAGAGCCACCGCTGCGCTGCGACAATTTTTCAATGACGATCACGGAGCAGCAAGTAATTCAATCAAAATGCGATTGTACGATCGTATCGTCGAAGCACCACGTTTTTACCATTGATTCAATCATTTACGAGAATAAATTTATACGGTCGGATCGGTTTAAGTTACTGCCTTCTAAATAGTGATATTCAGTAGGACGAATAGTAGAGTAGCGTTTACACGATCTTACAGAATGCAACCACCGCTGTTTGCTACCAAAACAGTTACGTGGGGTGAGGGTACCTGGATTTGTTTCACTCTGCTGCGTAAAAAAATCAGACTTAATACGCGCCTAAAACAAGTGTTCGAGGTTTGTAAATTAAGTGATGAGACTGCAACGTAGCGTTCGATCTGGCAACATAGGAACCGAACTTGGATTGGAGATAGGAGAACATGTGATCTGCCTTCAGTAAAGGTTCGAACTCGCTCGAGTCATTTGGTTGTCCGTACCGATTTTTTTTGTGGAACAGTTTTTCCTAAAAATGCATGATATCACTTTCGAGCAAGGGTGTGTTATCAGGTCTTGCTTCAGACTTAGGCACAGTGCAACGGAATTCGTGCTGAACTTCAGCAGGCCTACGACTTTAGGGTTTCGTCAAGAGCCCAGACTTTTCGGTGGATTAAGGCATTTTCAGGAGAGAGTCAATTGAAAATGGGCCACATCGACGGAAAACATTCCTGTGACTTTTCAGCTCCCTTATTCGCCCGACTTGAGTGGAAACCGTTCAAACGGATGTAACCAACCAGTTGAAGGATATTCCAGTATCGGAGTTCTAGCACTGCTATCAGGAGTGGAAGAACCGTCTCCAGCGCTGTGTGGCTTCGAAAGGTTATTGTGAGGATGAAAAAATAAAACTGTAAATATATTTAAATGAAATCATCACTTTATTTACAGACCTCGTATGACCTCTGCTGTGCCTCTTCTTGCGACATTGTCAGCTGAGTTTTCTAAAATACACCCAAGAATAATGTGATTGTATACCAAGTAACATATAAAATGCAACACCCAGAATTATTTATTGAATTTTGATAAAAACTCATTTGCCATCATGAAAGTATACGCTGATAAAATGAAGGCATTCCGAGCCGTTTTCATATCAGGATCCGAACAATATAAACATGTTTACTTAATATTCAGTGATTTTTCCATTGGTTTAATTTGTTTCATTGTTGTTTCATTGCATTATCATGTCTAGAGTTCTCAGACGCGCTAATTTCACTCAACTTTCCGAGTTTGAGAGGAGCCGGATAAACGGATTACGTGAAGCAGGATTTTCTTTTAGAGAAGTCGATAATCGGGTGAACCAAAACGAAGCTACTGTAATGAGATGTTGTCGAGCATGACTTCAAGAAGGCCGAAATCGACGAGTTAGAGTTACGAGGGATGTCTTTTAAGTTTTGCATATAGAAACATAGTAGGCCGCGCGGATCGAACGTCAGTACTGAAACTTAACCTCACTCTTTAGTAAACTTAAATTCAAAGTTTCACAACAATACGTCCAGTGTTCTCACTACAGTGAATTTTTAAGTGTCACCAAGTCATTAGAAAATATGGAACTCAACCGAGAACATTTTCGCGCCATAATTTATTACAACTTTCAGAAACAATTATCGCAACAAGAATGCCTTGCTGAGTTACTGTCTGTTTTCGGCAACGAAGCGCCACATCAGTCGACAATTTCCCATTGGTATGAAGAATTCGAACGTGGACGGGTGAGTCTTAGCGACGATCCCAGGGTGGGTGCACCAAAAACGGCAGTCACCCAAGAAAACGTCGATGCTGTGCGCAAACTCATCATTGAGGATAGACATGTGACATATCGCGAGATTGAGACGTCCTTGAAGATCTCAAAGACCTCAATCCAAAAATTTTAAATGAAGAATTAGGAGTATGAAAATTAGTTTCTCGTTGGATACCCCACCTGTTGACTGAAGAGCAGAAAGCAGCCAGGGTTAATTGGTGTCAAAAAACGCTTGACCGTTTCAATTCCGGAAACTCAAAAAATGTGTACAGCATTGTTAGTGGTGATGAATCGTGGATTTACTGTTATGAACCAGAAAATAAACGACAGTCAGCTGTTTGGTTGTTCCAAGGTGAAGAAAAGCCAACAAAAGTCATCCGTTCTCGAAGTGTTTCGAAAAAGATGGTCGCGGCATTTGTGTCAAAAGCGGGTCATATTGCAACAATTCTTCTTAATGAGCAAAGAACTGTTACTGCGGATTGGTATTCCACCATTTGTTTGCCAAAAGTCATCACCGAGCTTCGAAAAATCAACTCGGAAAGAAGAATCATCCTCCATCAAGACAATGCAAGCTCGCACACAGCCCAAAAAACAAGGCAGTATTTAACGGAAGAAAACGTGGAATTATAGTCCCGATCTAAGACCTAACGATTTCTTTACTTTCCCGAAAATTAAAAACAGACTGGGTGGTCAAAGGTTCCAGTCACCAGAAGAAGCAGTTGACGCATTCAAAAATGCAGTTTTGGATTTGCCAGCAAACGAGTGGAATAAGTGCTTCGAAAATTGGTTCGAATGCATGCAGATGTGTATAAATCTTCGTGGAGAATACTTCGAAAAACAATAAAGTCATTTAAAACTACCTACCGTGTTGTTTTATTTCCATATGCAAAACATAAAAGACATCCCTCGTATTTTGCAATCTTAAAATTAAAGCCCAACAAAAGTAACTCTTAGATTTATGATTTACTCGCTAGTCTATTCTCACCCCACTAACAATATAATCATATGGGGATAGGCAACAATGATGAACAGTAGATTATTCATTCTGCAGAAAAGAGTACTTCGATTAATTTTTAATGTTAATAAGAGGGACTCTTCTAAAGAAACCTTTAGGCGCTATAATCTGCTTATGTTTATCCAAAATTTCTGTTACTTTTCTAAAAATTAGTGTACCTGTTGGTTAGGGTGTCCCAAAAAACTTGAAATTCTTTTTTTCACAGCATGATACAAACATGGTAATATCGAAATTGTCAAGATTCTTTGTAATTTTTTTTGTGTTTATGGTGAAATGAAATGTTTAGTGTATAAATCTGAGGTGTCTTTGAATCTATTGCAGACAACTTTAAACAATACTTGATTTTTTTTATGAACGGTGGGTACGTTTTCAACTATTTTTTTTACTTTTTCGCTGTTCGCTGTTCGCTCACAACACACTAGCTTTGCTATTACAAACGTAGTTGTTTCTGAAAAAAGTTCAAACTTTTAGGAAAATCTCAATTTATATTTACAATACTCCCCTCGCTTTTATGATAAAAATCTGTCAGTGGTATGGCAGTCATTACAAAAAATGGTGAACGAGCATACAAAAGGGCTACAATCTATTACGATGTTCCTCCACCATTTTTTGTAGGAACGTGTTGCATACTCCATCTACTGACAAAAGGACAAGCTCCAAAATTGATTTCTATGCGGGGCGATGACTCAATCCCTGCAAAGATTTAACGGGGGTTGAATACTTTACCATTCAATTCATCCCTTTACTACTAGATGTCGAACAACTTATTGATCGGCTATTTGGAATGAATGACAGGAACAATCTGTGACAGGAGACAGAAGACAGAACTAATATCATCTGTCGCCTTAAGTTTTTCCTTCTTAGTTCATTTTTTAAATTGATTTGAATTCACGACGTTTTGATTGGTTACGACTGTGCATTGTTGATCAATCAAGTTATCGGGAATCCAAAGGAATGGAATCCCGAAAAGCCACAACTAAATGATCTACCTTGTCTTTAATTTCAAACCATCCGCTTGTCTGCGCTCTTCTCGTTAGCAATAGCTACGACTATAAAATTTTAGCTCTGTTAGACAATTCGTTCGGTGTTATCTTGCAATCAATTGATGTATGTATCCTTCAGACTTCATCCATTATCCATAAATTGAATTTTCCTGACATCGCGTCAGCCCAATTCATAGTTTGTACTGTTTTCTGCTGTAATCTCACGGCAGAATGGATACATCAGGCGCGTATCCAGCATCACGTCTTTTTGGGGGGCACATAGTGTGGCCTGCCAACTTTCAGGAGGTATCGTCAAGCTGTTTGCACCCAGATGAGATACACAACTTCATTCTCATTTCCTCTCTTCCCTGTCTGTCCTGTTTTTCACTCCCTCCCCTCTCATTTATTTCCTTCTACCCTCTCCTTTTTTCCTTTCCTCTTCCTCCCCTTCATTCATTTTTCCTCATTTTCTCCTGCAAGTCTAAGGCCTTGAGAGGATCGGGGCAATAGCACCGTTGCTTCTCCCTGGATCCGCGAATGGGATACATTCGGGCAAGCTGTGCAGTTGTATGGCGGCTGGTCAAAGGTTAGCGTATGTACCCTGTCGGCGCGTAGCTGGGCGAGTTTGAGTGCACTTGGTGGAGCAAAGGTATCACAATACTGTATGACTGTACGTTATATTGACATGTCTACAACTGGTATTCTAGTCTTGATAAATATAACTACCAACTTTACAAAGCAAATCTTTATTTTTGTATCATAATGCACGAGTATCACACTATTTTCATCCTTTTCATAACCCCAGCCAGCGTAGGCCCCATCTCCGTAGGAAATTTGGCAATGTGCACCCCTGCTTTCTGAAGGGCCTCTTGTTTGTCCTCAGCCCTGCCTTTACTTCCTGAGATTATAGCCCCAGCATGACCCATTCTTCTTCCTGGTGGAGCTGAGATTCCTGCTATATACGACACCACCGGCTTAGTCGCTGCCCCTACGTTGTGTTCCATGAGATACTCTGCTGCCTGCTCTTCTGCCTGTCCCCCTATCTCTCCTGGAACATTGATACTTTAACTGGGGGTAGGAATATTAAAGAATATTTTTAACATTCTACAATATCCCAGGCTGAGCCACTCTAATGTTCGACGTCTTAACCTCTGTGCTTTGACTGACAGTACTTTCTGTTCCTCTACTCTTTTTTCCTCAACATTGTCTGGGTTACCAGATCTGACAATCGTACGAACTGATATTATGACATAAGGTAAGTTCCTATGGACCGCTCTAATTTGAATATAATTGAAAAACAGTAAATTAAACATTTCACTACGGTGTACTGTACAGTGGTGGGTTGTTCAAGCAACTACAACAAGAAAAGCAATGACGTTAAAAATTGGCGTTTGATCATTTCTCCAAGGAACAAAGGATTCTGAAGTGTTGTCAGCAATACAAATTTAATGTACAAACCGCAAGGATATGTGGAACTATTTGTGGAAAGTGACTACTATATGAAAGAAAAAACTTTCGGAGTACCTCAAATAAATGGAAGTTGAAAAGTGATGCAATACCTTCCCTTCATTTTATAAAAAAAGGAAATTTAGCATATAAAAAGAGAATCTGAGTTATATTCCAGACAGCAATGAAAAGATATTTCCTGGGTAAACCATTATTCCGAAGGTGCCTTACTAAAACGAGACACAGATTTTTCAATTAAATGTAATAAAATCGACCAAATGTTCAAATTTTTCAACGCAGGGTCATTGGGATCGACCAAAAATTATTTAAAATCGTTAATGGATGCCAGTTAGTGTAAGTGCAAATGCTAAGCATCTTTTTTTTCCTAGATGTAAAATGTATTTTAAAATCCGAATATTAAATAGAGATGTAAAAGAAAAATCCAGAATTCGGAAGAGAAAAATGATGTAAATTTTAAAATCAAGTCAATAAAACCGTTTAACAAATACAACATACTTATCACCTACCCATATAAGACATTGAAAAAAAATTTACACATAACATTTTATGCAAAATTGTAAAGATGTCATATATACTGTATCCTGTTTTCCATCTCGTATATAAAAAGTTAATGTAACAAATGAATTTATGTCACTGATACAGTGGCGGCTCGTGAGGTAGTGCCACGGTGCCATGGCACTACCTTGTCTTCTTCAAAAAGAATATTTTTTTCAATCTTCAATGTTTTACTTTATTTTCTGCTTTTTCACTTTTTTGGTATAAATTATATGAAGTGACAACACTGACAACGTGACAACACCGCAAGACATTGAAAAAAATTTACACATAACATTTTATGCAAAATTGTAAAGATGTCATATATACTGTATCCTGTTTTCCATCTCGTATATAAAAAGTTAATGTAACAAATGAATATATGTCACTGATCACTAATGCATAAATCTATTATTTGAAATCAAGTCGCTTGAATAAAAAAGTAAATCCTTTTATTTTGAGCTCTAAAGAGATTTGAAAAGCGCATTTTCAACGATTAAGTCTTAAGTTACTTAGAATCCTCCAACTTGTCTACTGTTGATTTCTAAAAATTGTATTGGCATCAATATATACATATATAAAACAATCAATATAATACTAAAATTCTCATATAAAATCTATAACACAAAAAAGGTTAGGCAAATATTCCAAATATTCAAAAGAAAACACTAATAAAATGCATTTCGTACCCAAAAGCGCAACATTTGTAACCGAGCGACGCCATGTGCAAAGGGGTGAAACAAGCTTTTTTACCTACTAGGTATAGAAATGAGTTGAATCAATATAACAATTACGTTTACACATCTCTTGTCACGCGCTTTTCAAATTAATTACATCAATACGCTGGGGTGCGTTTATGAATCACTTGGCAATGTAATACCTTACACAGTAATGTAGATTGACAGATGAAATTTCAGTCTGGAATACTGTGAAACTTAATTTTTAGAGCGCCTAAATTATTAGAGTCATGTTGACACTTGATGATAGCCTAATTTCTATCCACGTTTTCTGCGACCATTGTAGTTATTATAAGAGGCCCTAGGGATACGAGTTATCCTTTATCATGAAAATACATATTCTGGCAGTGTTGAACAGTTTTCGATAACCAAATAAAGTAAACAAACACTGAACCATGAGAATGACAAGTGACAACTCTTATTCCCAACGCTTTGAGCTCGGGAAGAAAAGAACACCTTTGACGTTCCAAAAAGATTAATTTGTTCTATTTCCGAACGCATATAACAGGTACGTCAAACAATTATGAACGCTAAAATTATTACAGAGTAATGCAAAGTACTCTGTAACAATTTACGAACGCAGCCCGGTATAGGCAAGCGAGGCCACGCGAGGATCGTCCCACCCCCCGAGACGTAAATGTTCTGCCTGAACATGAATCCTAAGACGAATCTGGCAACGCTGCGCCACTCATTCTTGGCTCAGCAGCCGTCCGATATGAAGTCCCCATTGTTGGTCTCGAGAAATGGGAGATTGGTTCAGTAATTCGCTTTTTTCAAGCCAAAGAGACTCCACCCGTAGATATTCATCGTCACTTGATAGTGTATTGCAACAAATGTAAGTCTGCTACAGAAACCTGAGAAGTATTAAAGTACAGTCGTACAAAAAGTGTCATTAGGTTTATTCATACAGCGGTCAGTGACTTGTCGGTGACTCAGTCTGGATCCGGCTGTGTGAGTCCCGTTTTATATATCGTAGCAGAATGAACGAAATTTGTGTGGCGGAATCTTGGACACGGTGACTGACAAGTTGTGGCTGCTATACGAAAAAGGATACACCCATCTATACTTCTTACCTATTAAAATGATTCCTTTTGTATCCTTATCCTTCAAAAAAATATCTAGACAGTCAATGAATGTAGTTCCATTGAACGGGTCACCTCCTATTCCAACACATAGGGTCTGACCTAGGCCAGCTAATGTAGTCTGGTTAACAGCTTCATAAGTTAGAGTACCAGATCGCGATACTACTCCTACCATACCTTTCCGAAGAACAAAAACCAAAAATGAAAAGCTAAATTCAAAATCATCTGTTTCTGTAAGTATTGTCATCGACCATGAAGTATTAAGTCTGGGATGAATTAGGTGCGGACCTAAATAGATATCTCATACGCTTTCCATTTTTTTTTTATCCCTGACTCAAGTTGCGTCTTTTCCTTTAACCTGCGCATCCACGCAAGTTATTCTATTCTGTCAAACTAACGCTAATATTTGTCTGCACATTTTTATTCTATATCAACGATTTAATGAATTTAAACATAACTGGTAAATTCATTATTTTTGCTGACGATACCACATTATTTCGCCAAGACGTATAAATGGAATTAAGACTTACATTGGTAGTGGAGATATAATATAATGCTCCCTTGATTTAGTAAATTTAGATGAAGGACTGATACACAAATCAGACACCATCAAATTTTCGGGACAGACCATTGATTATAAATTAGATTTTACTAATCATGTAGACAAATTGCTTACTCAGCTAACAAAGGCTTCCTTTATTATAAGAACAGTTAGTTACAACGTAGAGAAGAGCACAGCCTTGCGTAGTGACTTTACCTTATTTGAAAGTAGATCGAGAGACCTTTTGGTGTGTCTGTCCCAAAAATTGTTTGTAAAAGTCCTTATTCTCCAAAAGCGAACTATTAGATATATACGAGTATGACACATGATTGTTGATTTTAAAAAAACAGCAACTCTTAACTCTTAAAAATAAATTTGAAACATTAAGTATAAGTTGCGATATTAGACGAAAACACGTTCTTAAATTAGCAGTACCTAAATCAATACTTTTGAAAGACTCGATAATGTATAATGGTCTGAAAATGTACATGTGTCTTCCTGATACTATCAAAAGAATCAACAATTTAATGATATTCTGCCGCGAACTTAAAAAGTTTCTTGTATATAAACAATATTATACCATGTGTGAGTTCTACAATTCATTCACTAAAGATTCACAAATGTAAGTATTTTATAGCTCAACCAAATATTCGTTACATATATGAACAGAAGACAGACAAGCCGAATAAAATTAGAGAGATAAGAGACGACTTCAAAAACATGGCGCTCACAAAACAGCTGATTGCGTCTAAGCACGACTGTTTTCATTAATAAAATAAATACTTTGTTGCCAGATAGATAATCCTTTTTGGATGAATTGGTTGAGCATCACCTTTAGTGAACGCAGTTTTTGTTCAAATTTACTTTTGTTTGGACATTCATTCATGGTGGATGCATTAATCATCCATCTCACGAAATATATTTTTCGTTCATTAAAATTATAGATCCCACTTTTCGCAAGAGAAGCTATTCTCAAAACCTGTAAGCTATCACATAGTTATTTAACTACTAGGTACATACGTGGAATACTGCACGACTTACTTTCATAATAAAAGAAGTACGTCAGCTTGAAATTCAAAAGTATTATTTGACCAATCATCGATTGTTCTCACATGGTCGCGAGTTATCTAGACAGCTTCGCCTTGAAACGATATGATTTCGTAAGAATTTTTGGCGTAACCGCGAATAATCCTGAAAAGAGCTGAACTCCCTTCGGCTTAGTACAAATGTAGCGTTTTATAAATATTTTATGGCAGCTTGGCATCACCGCCTGGCTAGCCAAGGACGGTCCACACCTAGATCGATATTTTTATTTGTAAGCTAGTAATAGTCTAAGAGCCAACCGCAAAGTTTTAGTTACATAGCGTACTGACATGGGATGTTAAAGACTAGTTAAATCTTACGTGTTTTGATACTAAACAGAAATCATATCGTACTATATCAATACGCGACGATTAACAAAAAATTTACTATTTGCTTCCCTACTACAATGCATATGACTCTTAAGGCATTCCACTAAGTGTCTTCTCTTAGTCTAGCTACTATTTGGTTTAGTTTTTAGTTAGCTTTGTCATTAAGACAATACAGTATATTTATCTATCTATCTATAATATTGAACGATCTATTTTCAGTCCGTTATCGACTAAGCTAGCATTATGACCAACGTAGAATGTGACTTGCCTACCTTGCTTATGTATCTGATTGGGCATAATACCAATCTTGCACTTGCCAGAAGCTATAATGCCAGGACAGTTCGGTCCAACCATCCTGCTCTTACTTTGCTTTAATAGCGCATCTTTCACTTTCACCATGTCATGGATTGGTATGCCTTCGGTGATACATATTATCAATGGAATTTCTGCTTCAATGGCCTCAAAAATTGCCTGCAAAATCAGCAATATAAGGATAGAAATACAATTCCCATCAATAAACGTGTAAACACATTGAGGAGAAGCAACATAGATTATTAGCTACAATACCGGTAACACTCCAATGTTCCTCGTACAATTGTTTCTAGCGCCATCTGACAATTGCTTCGAAAATAACTTATAACAAACGAAACGAAGGCGTTGCCTGTTCACAGGATTCTGGACAGTGACGCATGCCCTCTCTATTAACCACTGGTTGCACTATATTTATAAACAAATGTATGGTATACAGGGTGATGTTAATTATGCTAACTGAAAAAATAGGTATTCGTTATAGAAATTAAGACATTAAGTTTCGATTAAAACTTACAGTTTCCAAGGTTTCATACACTTTTATTCTCTAAAATAACATACAACATACATATAATAAGAACCTTGTAAGAAAATACATGACATTTAAAGAATGACATCAAGATGTCCCACGTAATGCCATCAGACTATGTTCGCCTTATAAAAAAAATTGATTTCAAGTCACCTTTCAATTTCATAGCTTGCATTATTTCCAAAAAGAACATAGACTAGATTAATACCGTTAGAAGATATTTGATTCAGTAACATTTGAAATATAAAATGAACATTGTTGACGTTATTCTTTAACGTAATGGAAACCAAGCCAAAGCACTACAAATTATACTTACTTATTAAAACAAAAATAGTCACACACTTTGGCGCTTTAAATAGAAAAAATACAAAATATTTATAAAGACAACTGGTTCGTATGTACACAAATGTATTTTATAAAATACATATACAGAGTCTGCGAAAGGTTGGGAAATCTTGAGACTGGACCAGACCAAAATATGTGAATTGACCTGAACATACCTTAGTCCAAAAGTTGATAGTTTGCAAGATACAGGGTGTCAAAGATACAATTTTATTTTCTATTTTTCCTTATTCCTTGAGAAGTGTTTCAGATTCCGGCATAAAGCTCGATATAAGGCGGTTCTCTAATATGAGAAACAAGAATCCGTTATTTTGTATTGCCAAACTTCTAGAGGGTGCCACTTACAGCACTATTTCGGTAAATAACTTATCATAACTTTTTTGAGCTACCCTGTATACAACAACTAACCGAAAAATCTTACTTTCTCGTATTTCCACAACAGAAGTGTCTAAAGCTAATAGATATTTGGTTTTAAAGCATTACATCTTGCCAATCCGTACATTAAATGCATATAAGAATATTCATCAAACGTATACTCCATGATGTTTAACAACTTATTGTCAACTTAAAATTATTCATGAAGCTTAAAGCAATATTATGGCAAATGTTAGCAACCATAGCAACTCTACTCATATATTATCCAAAGCAACTTGATTATTATGTTATAAAAATGTTTTATCGTCATGGTACAGATAATGCATTGGAACTTTTAGAAACAAATATATCGAAAACTATTAGCTTCAGGCACTTCTAACAAGTGAACCTTTTTGTTGTGGAAATACGAGAAAATAAGATTTTTTGGTCATTTATTGTATACAGGGTAACACAAAAAGGTTATGATAAGTTATTTACCGAAATGGTGCTGTAAGTGGCGCCCTCTAGAAGTTTGGCCATAAAAAATAACGGATTATTGTTTCTCATACTAGGAAACCTCCCTATACCGAGTTTTATGCCAAAATCTGAAATACTTCTCAGCAATAAGGAAAAATAGAAAATAAAATTGTAACTTTCAACTTTTGGACAGCGGTATGTTAAGTTCAATTCACATATTTTGGTCTGTAGTATCTCCAGTTTCGAGATTTCCCAATCTTTCGCAGACACCCACACACGGTGTAAGGTTAGTAGTGGATCTACGAAAGTCAGGTGATAGAGGACCTCAAAACCTATCGAACGAACCCCTATATTTGCAATTTTGTGAAATCTCAAAAAAAGGGATAATGAACTTTCAATCGCAATTACAACTAAATCATCAGGTTTAGGGCTGTGATATTTTTTCTGAGATAAGCTAAATGGTTAGTTTTAGCAATGGTTATGTCACTTTTTAACAGAGCTTATTAGAAATCAACGCAAAAAATCTGTAATTCATTTTTTGGTGAAAAATCTCTTCCATCGCTCAACTTTGGTGAGCGGTAAAAAAAATGTAGGTTGTATTTCATTATTCATTTTATTATAAGAACTATTTCAGTCCATGTAGAATAAACCCTGACAATTTCAGCTTGCTACGGTAAGTGTCTCACCTAAAAAAAACTGTATGTTCGATGCAGGTGGGTATCCAAACGACTTGATGGATTTTGACATATGAGGTACTGTTAGATTCGTCCTAGCAGTGCGAGTGATACTGTGTGTATTAACATTTTGTAAAATCAAAGTGGCAGATTTTTTACGCAAATAGATAAATCAGTTTAATGAGCTTGGGCCTTCAACTCGGCATTCCAGGTGCGGGAGCATACAATCTTCGGTCCGACCGAAATTACTAAGTCAGGCAATGGCCCAGCGCGGAATTTGTATCTAACGTTTGGCATCTGAGTAGAATCATGTAATATTCTCCGCGAGATTATGCATGCAAAAAAGTTGGAAGAAACTTCTTAACAAATAAATATTGTTGGGAACATCTACGAGAACCTTCCCACTTCAGTTGGCCCACTTCAAGATTGGTACCAAAATATGCCTTTATGAACTGAACATGACAAAACTATTTACTTCTAAAACAATTTATTTTCTCAAAAATATTTTAGATACACTCTAGTCGTAAAAAATACATATTTGAAATCACTTAGACCTATAACTAATAGAACATCTGAACAAATAAACAATGTGCGAATAAAAGCAACAATTGAAAGACTAACATTGGGTAACATCACCTTTATTTTTTATTAAATAATTCTTTGGGGCATAGTGTTAACCAAGTTTTAGCAAAAATTTGGTGTAAGACAATCCCATATTTCTTGAAGCTTTTGTCTCAGTTCGGTGATTGTACGAGCAGGATGTTGTCGTAGAACCTTTTTCATCTCGTGCCACAAAGTTTCAATAGGTGACAGATCTGGACTGCTAGAAACCCATTTCAAAAGTGGTACATTATTTTCTTCCATCCATTTTATAGTCTTTTTTGAGGTAGGGCACGCTGCACCATCTTGCTGAAACACAAAATCTTGAAAATTGCCAAATATTTGTTTATATCCACATTTCCATCAATAAAATGATGTTTTCCTACTCCTTTTGATGACATACTGCCCCAGACCATAATGGATTACTCCATTGTATTGCACACCATTGTTGAGGTGTCCATTGTCTATGTTCTTTAGCCCATCTAAGCCGATTTTTCTTTTGCAGTGGAGTTAATAGTGGCTAAATACAGCTTCTCCGTGTTCTGCGGTATAAACCTAATGCACTCTACTATAAGTCCGTTGTGATCATTTTGAGTCACAAGAAGCGAGCCGACACGGACTTAAAAGCTTGCAAACTGCAAATTTTCGCACGCCTATTATGTAAAAAACCTATAAAACGTAGAAAAGACAAAAAAATGTGTTCTTGCAGACTAGGTAGTTTTTCGGGTGCAAATAGTTCATTCCACGTTTGTTCGCTATGATCGCTGTGAGCGTCTATCTTTGGAGGAATGACTCAACTCGCGCATTGTTGATTGTATTTAGAAAGCAATTATATGTTTTGTGAAGCCGAGTAGTCTGTAGTGTTTATCTCTGAGATGTGAAAGAAAGAAAGTTGGTTGAGTAGCAAGATTGCATCTGGATGGTTATGTGTATTGGTCTGCATGTGTATAAAATCAGTGATTACTGAATATGCTGCCAGTGAAGTATATCTATCAGCTATGCCCGACGGGCTATTTACATGTTGTCCTTTTTGGAGACAAGTTATGTTCAAAGTTATAAATTACGATTTCTTCCGTTTTTTTTTTTTGTGTTTTCGAAAACTTTGAGGAGCAAATTTCTATAAAATTTAAATCACTGGAAATAAAAAATAATGTAATAACCTTTCCACTTTCATAAATATTTCTGTCTGTACCATATTTTCTCACCTGTTACTTCACAAGCCAGGGATTTTCTTTTCTTATGTCTCTCATTTTTTAAATTCAGCAAATTTGCATGTTATGTAATTTCCAGAATGAATAAGAAAAAGTGGATGCGCACCTAATTTCTAGCATAGAATCTCAATTAAGTGTATTTGAGACAAGAAGCCAATGGAATTATCATCAACCCATATTATTAGCACTCAAATCCTCACTATGTACCTATGCACTGCCGTTTTCTTCCAACTATAGTATGCAACCTTATAGCTTAGACCTCAAATAATGCCATCTCCGAAGCACATGTTACATAACATCAGAGCCAAACACTAATAACTGAAGCATCATGATGTTAGTCCAACACGTACAAACAAGTTCACAACAAGTATCCATCAGCTAATGCTAAGTTAACATCTTATAGAAATCATAGCCCCACGGTACCCAATGGGTGCTTAGGCCTTAGGCCTTCGTGGTAGTTGGAGTATAAAAAAAAAATACGTTAGTCAAACAAAACCTATAACGTATAATGTCAAAGAAAACCGACATAATGTCACTTTTCAAGATACCCGTGGGTTGCGCGTTGCCAGCACTCTCATTGATACAGTACTAATACCGGTTTTACATGCAGCCACTGCCGCTGCCACTCGCGCTGTCCACTATCCTGCCGTAATTAACTCCAGGGCAGCATTTGGAGCAAGTGACTGTTTACATGCAGCCACCCTTGTAACCTACCATAAACTGCTTCCAAAAAACTTTCCATTACATCAAATGCAAACCAAATGGGCTGACAAACCTCATCTGCCCCCGCTCCTGCATCTAATCGAAGCGTTTTTCTTTTTTAATAGTGGCCAAAATGTTGCCATTAGAGATTTTTTTTTCGACTTAAGTTAAGACTTAAGTATTGGGATGTTTTTCAATCCTACCATAATAATCTTTCAGCCGCATATAGCTCTAAAAACTTCAATACTTGATCATTGCTCCACTCAATTATGATCCAAGTGTATTTTAAAACGAATAATTTGCCAAATAAGGAATAAAGTAGGTTAAGATACCCTGCGTCCACGTGGTAAGGACAGGACTGACTGTTGGTACTAGTGGTATTGGAAAAGTAATCATACGAAACTCGAGTACTCGTTACTCATAGATACCCGAAGTAACGAGTACCAATTCGAGCACGAAATGATTACTTTGATTCCTCTGTTTTCCGTATCCCTACCCGGTACCTGTACAATCGTTGATCGTTGAATGGTAACGCTGGTTAGACTGTAGCACTGCCGCTCGTGCACCAGGGTTGCCAGACATCCCACATTCAGATGGAAACCTGGAAACTCATTTTTTTTATTGGCGGACATAGAATTTGGTAATTGTTTTTGAATCTGAAGTTTACCTATTTACACCGTGACACAAATTCGCTTTTATTGTTGTGATCTTGGGAACCTGAAAAGGAATAAGTAGTCGATTGGATCGGATCAAAGTTCGGCAGTATTATGAGGCAGAAAAGCGACAACAAGGTTATACCACCGTTCAGGAAAACCACAATAATAAAAGTTATGTCAATTTGACTCATGTTTCCATGCACTGTTTTGCTAAAAAAAATATAATTCAGTATGACCACCAATAGTATGTGTAAACCAAGCTCAACGTAGAATTTTTTATACTTAATTGAAATGCTTCGAAAAGTCACATGCCATTCAGAATTTTCTTAAGCCCATATACAGATCATCTTTCTGACTAAAAGACATGTTTTTAAGTATTTCTAGTAAATACAAAGTATTTTGAGTTTGTAGGCTCATATGAGTCATATGACACTCCATCCTATGATAACTCATCTCGATAAGCATACAGTTTGAAGATACAATGTTTGCATTAAACACCATAGTCTTGAATAAACTAAGCTTATAACATTTTGCAAATTTTAAGGTCGTCTATTTTCTTACAAGATTCGGTTCCATTCAACTTGTTTAAATTCGACATTAACCACACGACGCACATTGCCAAATCGTTATACCCATACTACTCATAGTAATCAAAGTAACGAATACAATAAACGATTACTTTGTAGAAGAGTAACGATTAGTAACGAGTACTCGAAAGTAACGACAACCAACACCACTAGTTGGTACAGCGGGCAGCATGTTAAACGGTCGCTGCCGCTCGTGCCGCCACTCGTGCTGCTGGTCCTTTGACTTCCGTCCAAAAAACCGCGAACGAAGGGAGCATGCGGCAGCGGCAGCGGCATGAGCACTGGCAATGCGAGCTGCGTATTTACAAACTCGCGCTGCCCACTTCCCTGCCCAATTCCCTGCTCACTGCCGTGGAAGTGGGCTGCATGTAAACCCGGTATTACATTTCTAAAATATCACGAGGAAAAAATAACTCCAAAAGTGGTGTTTTTAATCCAACATTAGCAGACAAAGAAGTTAGTAGGTTAAGCTACCTAAGGAGAGACACGTGTTCGTACGAAGCCAATACTGTCTCATGGCTCTTATAAATCTAGTGCGCGTAGAGCGTCTGCGCTCTGCGCATTTATACAGATCCACGTAAAAATGTCAACGCAACTGCAAAAAAATTACGACATATTATCACGTACATAGCAAAATCCTGATTTTCAAGGTTTTTCATTTGACTCACGTTTTGCCATGCTTTGTTGGTTTATTAATATCCAATATTGCTGCTTGCAACTTGGCTGAACTGTCAAAGTTGGAGTTATTTACGTTCATAATAACAGCCACACAGAGAAATTAAGATATGAGAGAGATGCCACATACTTAGAACCTGGAATCCATCTCCTGCGCAGTGTACTTAGGAGATAACCCGTCCTTCATCTTCGACACTTCGGGCTTCACCCTCACTCTATGAGTTTTACCTTCTATCACTAGTCTTCGTAGATTAGCCAAAAATGTATATGTATCTTCATGTAGCATGAGAGGAATATCAAGCTAAGGTGACGTGGAGCCGAATTCGAGGTAGAAAATCGATCGCATGAGATCCTCTCAATAAATTGACGTCAGATTCGGAATCTACGTACTCGATTCATTGAAGAAATCAGACGTCGGCAACTCGTCGTTTAGATGTCTGATATTAGACATTTTAAACTTTTTGATGTTACGAAACTTCAAGATGGTGTAGACATTTAAGGCTAGACTTCAATTTCCCCCGTTGTTAGAAGCGAAAGAAACTTTGGGGCTCGTGAGTAACCTAGCGCCCTAAATTCTAATATAGACATCAAGTGATCCTAAAATGTTATTGGACCAAGTTTGAGGTAGGAAATGTCAAATACAAAATACACTGGACCAATCTCAGATTTGAACTCTTAGTATAATTATGTTGAAAAGAGCTGCTAACCTTGGCGCCCCCAGGAGCGGGTACAAAGATAACAGAAGCATGAGGATTAACAGCAGCTTTAGCCTCTTTCACACTAGCAAAAACTGGCAGATCCAAGTGTTTCGTACCACCTTTTTTAGGGTTTATACCGCCCACCATTTTCGTGCCATACTCGATGCAAAGTTTACTGTGTAGCGTCCCTGCTTGTCCTGTGAATCCCTGGCATATTACCTGGAATATTTAAAAGAAGCACACATGTTTAATATTATAAGCCATCCCCTGAATGATTATATAAAAAAGTATTTTACTACTACGAGTACTACAGCTCGGAACGTAAACTCCCATATTAGGAAAAAGAATAAAATCCCTTCCCGATGTGAATAAACTTTGCGCAACTTTATCGGACTTACCTTAGTCTCCTTTGTTAAAATAAGGTTTTTTCTGGTACTATCATATTGTGAATTCCACCGTTTAAGGAGCGATCTGTGACCGATTCTCACAAATAATAGATTTGATATTTTAGTTGACAACATTTGTTAGCTGTCATTTAAGCATTCAAAAGGCATTTAGAAATAGGTCAGTAAAGTAAAAGTCACTATCAGTCATCTTTTTTTCGTTTGTCTCATTACTAAGATGATGATATTGATGTGTTTACTTATTTAAAAATATAACTACATATTGCATTTTTCTTCATAAGGGCAATTTTTAAGTCCAGGGCCGAACTCAATTGCTTTCACTTTTCTGCTTTTTATCGAAATCAACACCTTTTAAGCTGAATATTGAACTTATGTACAAAAATATCCAATGGTACTAATCAATCAGCAGAATAGACATATTGCGTCTCGTTTATGTCACACAGAACTCAAAAGTCCAAGAGCTATAAACTTGGTGTCATCAAGATTTTACGCAATAATGCTTAAACTGAACTAACGATGTTTTGGAAACTCAAAATTTCATAATTGGGTTCAGTTTTATTTCCTTATCTCTTATTAAGTTTATACCCTGAATTTATTATTATTTCTCAGAAAATAATGCTTAATGCTCTATTCGACTCGACTGATGTTATACAGAAAAGAACTAGAGACTATGCAACTACAAGTTCTCAAATCATCTTTAATTCAATTTTAAGCATTATTTTGCAAAATGTTGATGAAACCAATTTAATAATCCTTGATTTTTTGTCACATAAACTGCAAAACGTGATATATTTAAGCAAATATAAATTTCTAACTAAAAAACTAACAGAGGTGCATGCAATTAATTTTACTAATAATTGAATATTTAGGTATTGATTTAGATAAAAAATAAGAAAGTGGAAAAATCAAGGCCAGGCCAACTTATCTAAGCCACCTGTCCAGTTTTACGTTAGTCCTAGGTAACAAAATTTCTACCAAATCGGTCCAATAGTGCCAGAAATATGTGATATTGAATATTTGGAGTGTTTAGATAAATCGGTATTTTAGAATTTCCTATTTCAGATACGAAAGATTTGACCAATGAGTTCGAATAGGTTAGGAGCCAAGCCTATAGGTTTACATTACATTGTTTGTCGAGGAATTTGCGTAGCTTTAGTGTAGACTCATTTGTCTACCAAAGCCTGCCAAAGTGACAGCGTTGTATCAAAATAATAATAATAAAACTGCATACTGCGTTTTTGAAAATTCGTTATTAATTGTCTTCAGTAGGGCAATTTTTAAGTGTTCTAGGTTTACATGATGTGGAAGGCCTTGGTATACAGGATGTTCGTATTTGAATGCACGAAGAGAAGTAGAAATATCTACCGTCATTAGACCTGTGCCACGCTGCAAATCATGTTAAAAGTACAATGTCTTGAAATCGTCTAACACCACAGACTATGAGAATTAAGAAACAAACATATCCTTGACTGGGTCCTTCTACCTAGTCTGAATTCGTTGGTCCATACTGTCTAGCATTTTTCTTTGTTTATCTAAGTACGGAACACCCTGTATGTTAAAAATATAATCAAAGTAGAGGTATTAAAAGGGTGAATGACATGACAGGCAAAATAATTATTATACATTTATATATTTAAGATCATTTACAAGTATTCGTATAAGTACATATATGTATCTAACAATTGCAGTTGTACGTACATTTCACTTTTATCTCAGCCTTATAACTGACAGAAATTACATTTCGGAAAGGTATTTGTACAAAAATTTACACTACTGCTACTAGTTTCAATCATGTTCATGTCGGTAAGAAATTTCACAACTGGACTGTTGATAGTAAGTAGTATAAAGAGAGCTTTTCTTGGAAAATGATTAACCTATTTCCTGATGCTATTGGCCAGCAGGCAAGTGTGGAAAATTGCTGGCACACTTCAGAACGGAAAACCTGCAATATTATTAATATCTGTTTTGTACTCGCAAGCTCATATAGTTCTTGTCTTGTTTATCAACGTCCAGTTTAAGAAATTTCTAATCTGTATATCGAATATAACGGAGGTGCTGTCTTACAGCATCGAGAATTTTGTTGGGCGTTAATAGTACTAGTCAGTGCGCACAAGTATGGCAGTGCTTTTCGTGCTGTCAAAACGACCCCAAAACTCGACTCCCGGAGCACCAGTGGTGCTTTGACAACATTGGCATTTTGGGGGATTTTCCCACAAACTTGGGGGATGTTTATTTAGTCAATTTTTTGAGGAATCAATTTTCTGAGGGAAATTACACGTTTCGTAGATAGAAAGCCTTCCCCCGCTTTATGAACCACACCTACCTTTTTCCATTGATTAGCTGCGATTTGGATTTTTTTTTTGAAAAATAGCAATTCTGAGAGGCTTTTGTGTATGATAATATCTAGAAGACCTTACAGCAGGCAACCCAAATCTCGTTTCGAAAGGTTCTCCTGGAATATACCAATAGTCCGCCAAGCTGATTTACATACCCATCCCGTACGATGAATGCGGTAGAGAGGTCCATACGCTATCTAGCCCATAATAATAATACTTTATTTATATTGAATGCACAAGTAGTGCTTACACACGTCATTTAGAAAGTGGCTGTATATTTTAACAAATTCCATACGCTGGGATGACGAAAAACTATAACAGTTATAACTAATTTGTGTTACTTGCGTCTTCGCACTCGTCAAAGACAAGAAACGAATTATAGTCTAATCATATTAGACGATACCCCTGGTTTGCGAAATAATTGTAAAGTCTGTTTTTATTGCTGCAAGTTGTTCAAGTGCGTGTTCAAAAGATAGACGCATAAAACGGGTACACCAATTTTTGTGGGAAAACTTTTTATTCGACAACAAGGAATGAGAAAACGTGTTTTTTTTTATTCAATCGAAAGTGTTGGCAGGAGCTAAACAACTCTTTTTATAAGATTTTTAGGTATTTATGAGACCTACAAAATGAGACTACAAGTAAAAATATCCGACTAATAGCAAACAAAGTTATGGCCGAAAACCGAAGAAAACTGCAGGTTTTGGCACTTTTTGGTAATGCGACGATGGTTTCTCGCAAATATTTGAAATTCTTCAAATCCGAAGGCTTCTTACTTCTAAATTACCACAACAAAATTGGAGTAGATTGGTCAAGTAGTTTTTGAGTATTTCCATTTGTTTATCCCAAAACACCTGTTTTCCGGCCATCACTACTAGGTTATTGAGCAATATACAGGGTCAGTTCAAAGGAAATTTTATAGCAAAATACACAAGTTTACTTTGCCGATATGAATCGCAAGCCATTCCGGAAGATAAATGTTATTTTTATGCAAAAAAGGATGAGTTACGTTTTTTCTTCTAAACAAATTCAAACATTTCGTATTTGCGAGTAATTCGCCACAACAGGTGATAGACACATCCGCTTTCTTTTGAAATCTGTATAGTAACGTATGCTTTTCGAATATCGTAGCGCAGTTGTTCAATTAGTCACGAATACGAAATGTTTGAATTTGTTTAGAAGAAAAAAACGCAACCTTTGTTTTTCGCTTAAAAATAAAAATTATCTTTCAGAATGTTCTGTGATTCATGTCGGCAAGGTAAACTCCTGTATTTCGCTATACAATGCCTTTTGAACGAACCCTGTATATTGCTCCATAAACTAATAGTGATGGCCAGAATACAGGTGTTTTTTGGGATAAGCAATTAGAAATTCTCAAAACCTACTTGACCAATATAGTCCAATTTTGTTGTTATTTAGAAGTATGAATCCTACGGATTAGAAGAATTTCAAGTAGTTGCGTGAAATTATCGCCGCATTACCAACAGGTGGAAAAACCTGCATTTTGACTCGTTTTTCAGCGATAACATTTTTGCTATTAATCGGATCTTTTTACGTGTGTTCTCATTTTTTAGGTCTTATAAATGCGTAAAATTCGTATATGTTTTAAGTTTTTTGGCTCCTGTCAATACTTTCGATTGAATTCCAAAAAACACGTTTTCTCATGCTTTGTTGTCAAATAAAAAGGTTTCCCACAAAAATTGATGTACCCATTTTATGTGTCCATGTTTTAAATACACCCTCAAACAACTTGCACCAATAAAATCAGACTTTACAAATATTTCTGGGAAATTTGCTAATATAATGAGACTATTATTGCTCTATGCAGTGTGAGTCTTCATAAAGTGCACATAGCAAAATCAAGGAAACTACATCTTATTTTATTGACGGAAAAATTATCAAAAAAAAATTAAAAACAATAATTGATTTTTTATGAATATTTTAAAATTTTTAGAGTCAGCTGCTAACCCTATTTAAATAAATCGTTACAACTTTTAAACTGAATGTCCTATCATATTGGAATAAATTTTGTAGTGATTGCAAATAATAGGCCGTACCAGTAAAGTAAAAATTTCCACGAAATTAAATGCTATAAATTTAAAATAAAGAGGAATATGCTGAAACTCACTATTTTTTCAATGATTTTTAAATCAATTGCTAAATTCTCGGGATCATTTTTGATTTCGTTTGCAACACGCAAAACTCTTTCTTCAAGTTCCGCATCGCTGTTTATGGAACTGCTGTACACCCTTTGTTTCATTGTCCCCCATAAAAAATAGTCGAGAGGTGTGAGATCTGGGGAACGCGCCGGCCACCCAACAGGTCCTTGTCGACCGATCCAGCGGCCTGGATAATTTTCATTAAGAAAAGACCTGACAATCAGCGAGTAATAGGCAGGACATCCATCCATTTGAGGCATCATTCTTCGACGAGTTTCAGCGGCACTTCTTCCAACAGCAAATACAGTTCAGTCCGCAAAAGCTCCAGAAATCTGTCTCCGTTTAATGTCCTCGGGAGTATTATTGGACCAATCAAAAAGTTGTCAATCAGTGCGGCCCACACATTTACAGAAAATTTCACTTAAAATGTTGAAGCCCTTTTCAGCCTAGGGTTTTTATCTTTTGGGCACCACTTATGTAAATTACGACAGTTCACGATGCCGTCTCCCGTGAATTGAGATTCATCTGTCCACAGAATTGTTTTCGGGAATTCAGGATTGTCTCTTGTTTTTATTAAAATCCATGTAGACATAACGCACCTTGGACGCCAATCCACATCTTCATGCAAGTGCTGCACCCTTTGATAATGGTATGGATGCAACCCTGCTTTCCTCAAGATGCGCCAAACCGATTTCTGGGATACGCCATGACGTAACGCCAAACGTCTCGGGTCAGCAAACAAATCATCCAAAATGGCTTCTTCGATAGCAACATGAATAATAACACCTGGTTCGCGGCGATCTCGAGGCAAACCAAGTCCAGTGTTAGCCAGTCTTCTATGTACTTCTTGGAAGTTACGGGCTGATGGAACAGGGCGTCGATTTGGAAATGCAGCTAGATAAGCTTTGCAAGCAGCTCTAGCACTCCCTCGGTACATTCCATAATAATAATGGATATCGGCAATATGTGCCGGAGGGAAATCACTTATACATGGCATCGCGACCAAAAAGCGAAAGCGTGATATGTAGCAAACGAAACTGATAAAGTTGGCAGGATAAACACAAATAGCTGCCTAACTGCCCAACATTCAATTGTTTTTCAACTGGGCCCGCCTCCCCACTCGTACTTCAGCCCGCGCGACCCTACATTGAATCACCAAAAAAAGGTATCTACATGATAAACAATGGTGCCTAGCAAGACAATGCGCATGGGCTTTTTTATAAACACTCATAGAAACTGTTACATTTGAGTAGTAAACGTCCAATTTTTACTTTTATAAAGCTGATAACATGTAGAATAACTTACAAATAAAAAAAGGGACAAGGGACGATATTTATAAAAAATTTGAAATTATTGTAAAAATGATGAAAAAAAAACAGATTTTCACCAAAATTTTCTTTATTCTAAATGGATGTCATTACTTTTCCTGGAATTCTTCACTTTTCAGGCACGTCCTTTTACCAGCAATCACTACAAAATGTATTCCAATATGATAGGACATTTAGTTTAAAAGTTGTAACGAGTTATTTCAATATGGTTAGAAGCTGCTACTAAAAATTTTAAAATATTCATATATTCATAAAAAATCAAATTCATGTTTTTTTGATGATTTATCCGTCGATGAAATAGAGTGTAGTTTCCCTGATTTTGATATGTGCACTTTATGAAGGCTCACACTGTATACTATGGTATAAATAGAAACAACACACAAAACGGTCAATGTAGAAAGCCAAAACACAAATAAATAAAGTAAAATTCATTATGAAGAAAGAACTATAAAATCACTGAAGAATACACGCTTCAAAACTATAGAAACCATTTTCTATCAGTTATTTCATAGTCTTTGATTTAATTTTATGCCGTAATAGTAACATCTAGTAACGAGTATGTTGTGGAGTATTTATTGAGAATTGTCCCATCATCTTCAAATAAAATGTAATTGTTCGTTAATGTACACTAAAAATAATAACGTCCTAAACATGAACCGTGTGGAACCCGCTTGAATCTGGCAGGCTAGATGAACAAGCATTTTTGAAAGAAATTAACTATCCGCTCAATCAAGAACTATTGGCGAACTATTAGTAGGTGGCGATCATCAGAATTTCACCTACTCATGCACTGTGTTTTGAATTTTTTAAAGGACCATATGCACTTGTTTGGTTTCCGTTTCGTTTGTCTCCAAGACCCAGACCTATACCGCACTGAAGACATGGTTACAGGAAACCTAAAGAAAACATGTCCATTTCAACACTAATTAACTCGTTTTTTATATTGATTAGGACCTGGTAATAGCAATTCTTTGAGGAATTAAAAATTATTCAAAAAGTTAATTCCAACAACTTTAAAACATGCTTTTTTGTGTAATAAAAACTCTTTTAGAAAAATATATAGTAGTGGAAAGTGGAACTTTAGTCTTCGCGACTATTTGAGATCAAGATATTTACAAGAAGCGATAACACCTTTAGTCAGGGAAATATCGAGTGTGTAATTTCTGCTACCAAACACAGTTTCCTCATAGTACGGTATTTAACGCTATAAACCCTCAACATTTAATATTCTGAATAACAGCTGGATATAGCACAGGCAGAATCGAATAGCTTGGAGGCTGCACTAAATGCTGCAGTCATCTCCAGATTTCCGTTTGTTTGGTGGTGGGGATGACTTGATATCGCCATCATCATATTGCCTGCTTGGTGAGGGTTCAAGGTTACGTTGTTATTTATTATGTCTCTGCAAATGAAAAATTATAACTTATTAGAAAGCTGAATGCTAAGTCAAAAAATTGCGTCAAGTAGGTTGGCTCTACACTTCCTACACAATGCCATCACCAATTCATAAAGAATTACGTACAGCTCAAGTTAGATTCTCTGAGAAAAAAGCTAGTCACGAACAAGTACAACAGATAAATTAATCGGATCAACTCAACAGGCCCATACAATTATTTCATGGATATTCTTTCCATGCCTTAACAGCAACGTCCCACGTCCCCCATACCTGACCACATAACGCGACAGACACGGTAGCGCGGCACCGAGTAATGATAGGACACTTATCGAGCTTACATCTCATCGGCTCTTAAAAAAGGTAATAAGAAAGACTACAATACAGAGTCAAACAACGGTTTGAAGAATAATTATAGTGTGCGTGTAATAATAATGTACAATACAGGGTGATCTCAAAATAAGATATTGCGTTACACATTAGATTTTTAAATGGAAACCCCCATTTTTTAATGTTTAGTTTTTCCATGAAGTTTTTAGTAACTTTTGTATAATAGCTTCAATCATTGTGAAGCTATTTCAACTTATAATAAAATTCGAATAAGTGGATCGGCAGACGAGCCCCATCGAGTAGCCACCGAGTCCGGACTTAAGTCCTTTGGATTACTTTCTTTGGGGGCAATCGAAAAGTAAAGTTCTAAGTACGATGCCAGATTTCATTCAAAATCTTCGTCAGCGGATTACGGCTGAATGTAGACAAATAAGGCATGCTTGAAAATGTGAGGAATAGATTCGAACAAAATCTTTATTGCATGAAAGCAAATTGACACCACTTTCAACACTTATTACCACATTGACCTACCTCTTTATAGCAAATTAATTTGTACTTTAACTTTAATGCAATATGTTATTTTTTAATCGCCCTGTATTGTACGGCTACAGAAGAAAAGACTAGAAATCAAAATTGACTTTCCGTGGGAGTCAAAATTGACGTGTCCGAAGATTTTCCCCAAAATATACCAGGAGAGTCACAAATGGGGGTGCGACCTTTTCGTCGCTATCAAAAAACTACTACCCCTAAGGGTGGAAAAGGAAACCACAGTTTAGAAGGAAAAGAGGAAGACCGAGAAGATCTTGGGATCAAGAGAGATCAAGATAAAGAGGCTTGCGAAACGGGATGTGGTAAACTGCCAACGTAGCTGTAAAACCGAATCCGGTACGCCCGCCGGTGAACCCAGAGGTTAAAAGTAGAGATGCGCATCGGAAACATTTATACATCATTTTAAGTTTTAAGGGCAAATGTACAGGAAAATCTATACCCTTTCCTACACCTACAACCCCAATCTCCAATTGTTAACCCCTACAAGTTTTTTTCTGAAAATGATCAGGAGCCTCTGAAACCTCAAAAGACGAAGTTTTAGCGATTTATATTTTTTTTTCGTCTTTTTCCTTTCGTAGTCCATCGCCACTGGATCGATTTCCGAAAACTACAAAGCTTTTCCGTTTTTGGCACAGATTAATCTTGTGTGAACAATTCATCCAAATCATTACGGTCCAAGTTATAGACCAACCAAGGATTAGCAGACAGACCGACAAAGAGACAGACGCGCCGACGGACAGGCCGCCGGAAATGACATGATTTTTCGTGATGTACATGTTATATAACATTCAAAAAAATAACATCTCATTTTTAACATTTTTCGCGATTACAATAGTTCTTTGGCAGTAGGAGTAAAGACTAAAAAGGAAAAGAAACCCAGCATTTACATGTTACCAGAGTCTCAAATATTTTGTTTAAATTTGAAATCCTCCTTTGTGGGGTGATAAAATATATATTATAAACTGAACTGAAGCAATAAACATTCTTTTGCTTAGCGTAGCATTGGATGAAAGTCAGCCTTCAAAACTTTACAGTAAAAAATTACAAATGTTCACCTTTACAGCAAGCTTAATAAGGAACGTGCTTTGACTTAGCTTTTAGCGTTTTAACATGCAACAGTAGTAGGTCGCCATCATATACGTATACATATATCAAAATCGTCTCAATTATCTGGAATAATGTGCCTATATAAGGTTACACCTCGTTATCGTTATATGGAGGTTCCTGTATCATAATGTATTGGAAGTTATGCGCTTCCCTCAAATTAGAGAATTTTTATAGTAGTTGGTAGCGGAATTACTGCTACTAGCACAAAAAACCCTAGTCAATTCTGTGCTTGTTTATTGCTTAATTTCATCTGAAATCGCTATACAGGGTGTCCTGAAATCTTGGACGTATAGAACTTGGAAATCTGAACATTTTTTTAGTAACATTTCCACCAAAGTCTTAAGGCTACCGAGATGTTAGGCTCCGCAAAATAAATCAAACTTAAACAAAACCTAATCGGTCCTGTACCTCGATCTGACGACACGTGAATACGTACAACGCACATCAGTACTCAATCCAGGCGCCTGGCCGAGTTGGTAACCAAAACCTTTACATATCGGTTCTAAAAAAACAAAATAAAAATCACACTCATACAGTGTCTTCGAAATGCCACCGAGGCTTCGCGAGTGCATGCTGATCGTTTCTTTTTCTTTTTTTGTTTGGGGCGAAATGTAATTAGTGTTGAAAATTAGTTATGAAACTCGGGTGAACACTGTTGACGAACTACGTGTGCGAATTTAGCAAAATGCTGCATTCATTCGGGAAAGGCAGCCAGTCCATTCTAAAAGCCTACACTGTGATGCTTGGCTACGTCGAGCACATAACATGTGTCTTTCAATCTATCGCGGACAACTTTGAACAATACTTACAAGTGACAGAGTTGTACTTGAAATTTCTTCTCGATGAACGGTGGGTACTTTTTCATTTATTTTTTGCTGTTGCTTCACCAGACATTAGCTTCTTTACTTACAAACATAATATGTAGTTTTTTCTGGATAGGAAAGTCCCATCTTTCAGGATACCTTGTACTTGGGTGTTCTATTTTATCCATTAGGATAAGGCAAGTTTCTCCAAGAGTCCGATATTTACTGCATTATTACACAAAATCTGAACAACGTAGATTTGATGTTAAATTAAAAAACTAGTTACACATATGAATTTGTTCATCTCCAAATATCGAATCATATTTCTTACCTGTGTTGTGGTGTCCTGTCCCTCTGCCTCCTATTTTTAAACCAATTGGAGACTTGTGTAAGGGTAAGGTCCGTCCTAGCTGCTAAGGCTTTCTTCTCGTCAGGTGTGGGGTATTTATTCCTCTCATAACATTCTTTCAGGGCATTACGACTTTTCTCTTTGAAGCAGTAGACTGTTTCTTCCCCATCCCATATTGTTTTGGGCAAAGGGAACTTTTTACGGAGACGGTATTTGTCCACGGCACCTAAATTAACCAAAATACGTTTTTACGTAGGAACTTGGTACGTTCATGTTGTTATGTATTATGGTGGAGGTTATGTCTTGAATAGCATACGTGAGATTAGGTTCACCCGCAAACGTCAAAACGTTAGTGAACCGGCAACTATAAAAACAATATGGTTAAGCGCGCTAAAAATAAGGAAATTGATGAGCTGGGGGTTCATTTTTTTCAAAGATGGAAGAAAATACTCTATTGATGGCTGATTCTGTAAAAAAGTTCTGTGTCAAATGGGTGGATTCTGTTCCAGAATGTATTTTATTTTAGAAATGCTACTAATTTATTTGAAGTCCTAACTTTGTGTATATTTAAATGATAAATATCAGTATTAATACCTTCTAATTATTCAGAAATTACTGCAGGTGTTGCGTAAATACAAGTGACCTAATTGAATTAATATTTATAGATTAATTCTATTAAGTCCTATAGGTTTATATTTTTAGAGCTCTTATCTTTTTTCGGGATAGTTTATTATTTATGTTTATTATCTTATTTGCAACATGGCATGTTATATTCTGCCTTATTCTCTATGGATATATCAAGGTGTATATCGATAATATTTTCACATTGATTTCCTTTATCTATTTACTCAAATAGTCAAATAAAAATATTGATTCATGATGTCAAAGATGTAAAGTTTAATTTTCAATAATAAAAATTACATCCATTTTTGTATTATAATGTTTTTTAAGTGTTAATTTTAAAGTAAAAGTTCATATTATTTTGACTGAATATGAGGTATTTGTTTAACTGCTGTTATATTTTTACGATTTGTTTTATTTGTTACATCTATAGTTATTTTTTATGCTAAAGAATATATTTATGGAGCAGTAGATATATTTGAATTGGTTTATTTTGTTAATAGTTAAATCTGTTTTATAAATATACATTTTCCATCCACGATTATCACAACGTATACTCGTCAATCACAATTGTATAAATGTAAACAGTGGTGTATTTTATGTTACATGATGTATATGTCATGGCAATATCGTAAAATTGGCCAGGTGATCGAGCATTTCATGTAATGTATCACTATCTATTGGACAAATCACAGTGTATGTTGACCAGATGAATGATAAATGCTTTAACGATCTGATCAACTACACGCGCGAGTACTTCATGAAACGGTCAAGGATGTTTGATCAAATCGTAAAATATTTACATTAACTACCGATAGGAGAGCTGGCAGCACGTTGTCTACAGGGCTGCGAAAACTACTATGTTATTCTACGTATGTCATGTTTTTTACTTAATATAATATATGGTAGTATAATAACTTGATTTGTGATATACTATATGTTCAAAAGTTTCATTTGTGACACGTTGTGCAATGTAAGTATATTTTACTATAATTGTTTTATTTTATTTTAAAGTTACAGGTTTCAATTAAAATGACTTTCGTACTTAAAGAACAATACATGAGTTCGTAAAATATTCTGGATTTTTATTGAATATTATATATTTTACTATATGATCAATCGGTGATGCCCAAATCGTTAAAAATTGACGATTCAACGATATGCTCAAATTTAGTTGGACATTTCATGAAATGGTCAATTCTACGAGATATAAAATGCGTCCATCACTCAATACATCAAAAGTACAGGAAAATTCTTTATTCTTTTTTATTTATTCTACATCAAATTGCACCATTTGTCTACAAAGTTTCACAAGGGAAAAGAGAAAGCTTGGAAATATAATTCACTAACCCAAAGGTCTGTTTCTTATTTTCTCCGCTTCTGTATAATGCGCGTTGAACCAAATCTTCTGAAGCTCCGTGTGATACCTAGGATGAAAGGGATGCGATGCCAATATAGCGTAAAGATCCTGGAAGGACTCTCTGTGGTAAGCGACCCTGGCGCGTGCTCTAAGGAAGGGTTCATTTGATCTTAGGGCGTCGAAGGCCTCATCTGGGAGAGCCCACAGGAAAGCTGATAGGCGATCTAGGGCTTTGCGTTGAACTAGTGACTCGCAAATACAGGCTACCTGTAAGTAATAAAATGGTAAGTTGACTCAGTATGATTCTTTGACAAATGTGTATAGAGTAATCTTTTTTTTGGAACATAAGCATTGGAAATATCAATGGGAATGAGGGTCAAAGGTTATTTTAGAGAGTAGGATGAACCTTGTTTTTCCTGCAAGTTATTCACGATCACAAACTTTGCTTACAAGATAGATGCTCTCCATGGTTAGACGTAAATTTAAAAAAAAAACTCCAAATATTGATCGTTATTATTAATTAGTATATTGGGCGGAAGTACTTTCACTTTTTATTAGAGATACAAATCATATACACATTCACCTCTTTTCTGACTGACTGATTCAAATAGGGATTCACATTACTGGATAATTTTTATAATATAAATAGGAGTAGATAATAGATACACAACGTAAATACTATATTTGTCACAGAGAAAACAATACATATTGAACAAAATAATTTGTTCATCGTTTAACATTAATTGTTAAGTTGTTCTTTTTAAGAAATATAATTTTAATTTGCTTTTATATTTATAGAAAACGTGAGTATGTGTTATGTGCCCAAGCTATATGGAAATATATGTTTGATAGATGGCGATGCGTTACCTAAATACCCTTGATCCACTGCTGCTCTGATGTTTTCTCGCTACCAATTTTGTCCTTGAATCTACCGAATTCCAACGTCACTATTTACCGATTTCGTGTTTTTTGGTTTAGCTACGGTGTTTGCTTACATCATTTGAAATAACAGTGTATGTAATCTTTGATTTTCAACATGATTATTTGCACTATACAAAATAGGGTCCATCTTTAGTACAAATAAATATCACGAAGGTCTTTAGTAGAACAAAAATAGAAGTTGCTATCAAGAGGATCAGGTCGAGTCAAGGATTGACGTTTCAATTAATTTTATTTTCAACACAAGTAATTTATAAGAATATCAAGCTACTTGATGAATCCCTATAGTCAAATCACATATAATATGACTTAAATTCTTCTTCATTGTACGACGTATGGATGCCAACGGTAAGCGTTTCAAAGTACAAGTGACACTTTTGACAATATATTGTCATAAAATTTTGCCATATCAGGACGTGACCTATTTGCAGCTGCAGGATTATCTTTAAATCACCGAACACTGTATATTTACATATCTTCTCATACAAATAGTTTTTTCTACCAACGTAGTTAAAAAATTAGGCTCCCACAGTTTCAGGGAAACGGTTGTATCTACATTCTTACATGTTCTTCTAGAGTATTTCTCTGAAATACGATATGTGGTGTCTACATAAAAAACACATGTAAGTAGTAAGTTATCACACGGTACAATTTGGCGCTTGCCTTTTGATAAGACAACCAGCTTTATCATGGGAAAACTAAACGGCGGTAAGATGAATGTAGCTGACCTAGGTAACTTTAAAAGTGTACATTTCAGTGTTTCTGACCAACAGAAGAAAAAGCTGAAACCGTTCTATGAGACATTAGACTTTAAAATAAATATCGTATGGAATTAAAAAGATCGTATAAAAAATATATTCCTTTTTCTGTGCTCAAAGCAATATCATTTGGTATTCATTTGGATAACTATTTAAAAAGTCGAATTTTATAGATTTTGATTTGACAGCTCGACGAAAATTTGGAATGTTGCGCAAATTGAAATGAGCCAGTTAAATATTCACTACATTGTAAAAGAGTCCTCTGTCTGAAAAAAAAAACAGCATTTTTAATAACTAAAATGTATTTGTGGAACAACAAAAAATGTCAAACATGATGCTTTGTTCAATGGCAAGCAGACCACATCTACTTTATTAGACAGAATCGTCAGCCATCTAGCGGTCTTATAAAAGATGTGAAGTTTAGTCATCCGACTATTCAACTTAACCTAGATATATTATTACTAAATTTAGTTTGATTATACTGTTAAAATATTTGTGCAACACTGCCCGAATAAAGCACGTGCAATGTCTGCATTATAGAATGGGGTGTAGTAGAGGGAGATAGCTGCTGGATAATAGATTTTGAGATAGAAGATACAACGTACGTCGACACATCATTAATTTCCTACTTATTCTCAAATACTCCAATTTATCAAGTAGCATGAGACGTTTAAGATGTGAAAATATTGGGATAAATACATAAAATCAACAACAATATTCTTGGCTATAAGATGTATAATATAAGCAATAATTGGATGATAATAATAATGATATAATAATGATAGTAATAATAATAAACAACTTTTATTTATAAGTTTAGCTCCAAGCTATTATACCACTTAACCCTTGAAAAATTTGCACTTACTACTAGAGTACATTTTAAACAATATTAACAAAATATTTGTCCAATATTTAAACGAAAATTACAAATTAAATGAAGCATACACATGTGTGTACAAAAAAAACTATAAAAGTTTTATATAATATACAGAAATATGTGGAAATATAGACATTATTTACATGTAAAATAAATTTTAGATTTTCATCTATAAACAAACCTAAGTATTTAATTATTAGATACTTGTATCTGAATAGTGGGGCCGCTTAAAGTTATGCTCAAATTATTTTTAATAAGGACCTTAGATTTTTAGGAGAAAAAAAATAACTTTGGACTTAAAGGGATTCAACCGGAGACTATCTTGTGTTGCATACTTTTCAATAGAATTTAGGTCTTCCATTATATGTGCTTCCGAAATTTTTAAATTTTTTTCATAGAAGATATGATATAATTGAAGACACAAGTAGATAAAGATGTCAGGTAACAAAGTCATTATATGGAGAAAATTGTCTTTAAACATTTTTTGTTGGGACTTTTTACTTTATTGATATTTCAAATATTTAGTGTAATTAGTTTTTTATTATCTTGTTTTTGCAACAAAGCAATCACAGAATGAAATAATCACTCTTTAAGGTTAGTTTAATACAAAAAGGCAATTTTTAAAAAAATGTTTCATGACACCTTTATCCACTTGTCTCACACAGTCTCACAGTTCTGTTTATATCTGATGTATACAGAATAAAGAGAATTGTTGGTTATATTCAAAAATATATAAAGCGGTTAATAGCGGTAACAATATGTGCCTAACAAGCCAAATAAGCTCATTATTTACGTAGGGATCTTTTCATTATCAAAATAGAACGTTTGAAAAAAGTGAAAACACATTTTGTAAAATTTGTGCTAATTCACAGTCCACTTACTTGTTCTGACGAAAAACTAATAGGTTTCTTCCCATACCCTTCGATACCAGTCAACTGCACCACAGTATCTGTCTTCTTAGCACTACTTATACTATTGATTACACTGTTGCCTCCACTATAATAGTCAATTTGCACTCTTCTTCCATTGTTTTCCTCCACGACCTTCTTTCCATCATAGTTGTAACCACCAAGAGGTCGCTTATCACCTGTCAAGTCACATTTTTTCAAAGCAGCTACTGTGTTGGCATAATCTTCTTTCTTGTAGTAGCTTATGTAGTCCTTGTTACGGTTCTGATCAGTTTTTTTGCCGCAGAAGAGATTGTCCCATTTGTAGTTGTAGAAGTAGAAATCGTCATATGTAGGGCTTGAGAAGTTTTCATCACTGGAACCGCTTGAGTTTGCATCTACCTCCATGGCTCTGATTAGCTGAACAGAAACAAATAAACCCATTTTAACATAGATTTTATAAAAATTGTAAATTGATAGTACCACATAGGAAGATGCGGGAAAATGAATCTTGTTTAGGGGCAAAAAGTTAGTTATTGGTACGCAGATAGCTCAGAAGTCAAAGGCAACTAGGACACTAGGGACAAGATTTTCGATCCCAGTGTGAAGAGATCCGAGATAATTCAAGGGAATCCGACGATAAAAGGTAACTTGTGGATATCGGATGTAATCAAAGCAGATGTTCTATCCCAATTGGAAAACATCCAAGAAGATCTCAGTGGGAGAATACCAAAAGCAATCAAAACATATTTTGGGTTATCCTCATCACATGTCTTCAAATTTTTCATAGTGGTGTCAAAACTAAAATTCCACGACTCGGCTTAGCGGTGGGACCTCAGATCGGGCTCCAGTTTTTTTACTTAGAGAATACCTATAGAGGTATTAGGATTTGTAAAATGTTAGGGTCCTATGTCGAAGAGTTCGGTGGAGACGCGCTCAAAGTTTCAAGTTTAGGCAAAAGTGTGAATTTTAGCGTTTTTGCAACTTTTCCATTTTCTCGCATTAGGCCCTATAATATATGACTATTTTAAAGTAAAATTATCCAAGGTAGTTGAAAATGACAAATCTGCGATGTGATAGTTCGTTCGGCAGATATTTCAGACAAAAATAGTTTGATCGATTTTTTTACTGGTTTATTGGGCTGACAATTCGAATATCTTCCGAAACAAAAAATGCACATTAGTTTTTTTCGTAAATGTGATGGAGCAGCCTATCTCTCTTTAATAAACGGAATTTTGCACTCGGACTTTTGGATTCACTGGAGAGCGGAAGGGTTATTACGTAAAAAACCTATGTTATGTCAAAAAAACATACAAAATGTCAATCTGTAGGGTTTATATATGAGAAGATGTGACAGAAAGAAAATGGGTTTGGTATCAGAGCAGCAAAATCGCATATGGGTGATTCCGTGGTGATGAAGTATAACTATTAACTGCACCAGACAGGTTATTTGTGCGGTTCCTTTCTGAAGAGATCTGATATATTCAAAGTTATAAATTTTCTATTGTAGCCGGTTTTTTGCGTTTTCTAGACCTACAATAATGTCATCACTGAGGCAGATGTTACATCACATCAGAGCCAAACCATGATAGCTCAATCGTCATGAAGTTTAGGCAACACATACTCTACACCACGAGTGCATATCAAGTAAACAACAGCTAGTTCCAAGTTGACATCTTATAGGAAAACCTACATAATGTCAAAAAAATCCCATATGTTAAAAAACCGACATAATGTCACTTTTCAAGTTACGTATTAACTCTGCTGGTCGGTCATGACTCATAATATGTTCAAATTTGTTTTCTGAAGAGAACCAATGGAGGCATGAGACTTTTTAAAATCTCAAATTCCTAGGACGAACAGTTTGCTCTAGAGGCATTAGGCGCTGCAATATGTGACTATTCCAGAATAAAATTGTCCGAGAAATTAAAAAAATGAGATCTGATATTTCTTTCAGCAGATATTTCAGTCAAAAGTAGAGGCAGGTCGTAGAATTTTATTTTTGACCCATTAGCATAATTTTGAAGGCAGGTACCACGTTTGTCATAGGAACTGAATACACAGTTGCAGTATTTCTTCCAGAAGGAGCGGCCATAAACGTCAGTCAACAAAGTGAAAATCAGTAAGACCTAGAACCCAAAGCCATCAATAGCATTCGCCTACCATTATTTGTTGGGACACCCAGATAGGCATCAAGGTACTAAATTCACCATGAATATCAACATTTTGTAGCTTGCGTGAAGTCGTTTTAGGAATTTGAAAACTAAAATAAGATGTTCTTACTATGGATACCAACTTACGAATGATACAAAGGAAATGGTAAGCTAGAGAGCTAGCTCCAAAAGATACGACCTCTTGGTCTTCTTAAGTATCTAAAGCAGGTTGCTGATGTGGCTAGAACACGCATTGAAGCTTTCATGCTAGAATGTACCAAGAAAAAGTTTATAAAAGAACAAGAATCTGAATTTATAAAGAACTTACATGGATTTAATAGGAAGGCCGCAAGAGGCATTATCGGCCTTATAACAAGACACTGTTCTTGATTACCTACACATCGTTCAAGTATTTTCTTTCATTATCCCATAAAGGTACGATGATTATTTTGCTGCCTGTTTATAGTATTAAACATTTCTTTATACCGATGCAGCCACGAGGGTATAAACTTAAATACCGGGACATCGCGGCTACTGTAAGGATCTTAAAGATGCCTTGTTAATAGATTTTTGAACTGCCTGAGATTAGTAGAACTGGGAAAAACACCTCAGGCACGTTCTTCCGCAATCTCGACACCCTGGGAACACAGTGATTGTACCGACCAGTTCAGAATATATAAAGTTCTACAGAGGCAGGATGTGAAATAAATGTCTGGAGGGTCCGTCTGGAATGCTGGCTTCATGGAGGATAGCTTTGAGGGGCAAAGTCCGTTGGTATAGCGGCAGAAGACAGCTGATCCGTGTGAAAATGTCCCGGAACCATCGTTAGAGAGGTGTCATAGATCAGTCGGACAACCCTCCTCTGAACAGCATCGAGTATGGAGAGTGTAGTCAGAGCGGCAGCGCCCTAAATAATCGAGCAGGCTGGATCTTATCTGGCCCTTGTAGAAAGTGAGGATGCTAGTGGGAAAAATTACTTCTTAGGTATAAACAACTTTGTCCCTACTGCTGACGCGATCGGCGAGATGTATTGATGCCAAACCAGGTTCTCAGTGATCTGGACTTCGAACAGCCACAACGAAATTATTGAGCCTGTACTGAGATTTTCTTGAAATAAGCTGAGCTTTTACCTAGACAGATTGTAGCTAAATACGGCGAATGCAACGAAGAAGTTAAGAGACATGTTGGTTCGAGTTTTGAAATGCTTAATATTAGTAGGAAACCTTTTAAGGAAGATTCCTCCATATTACACATTAGGTATTAATATCCAAGAAGCAAGGAAGCAGTTGTACCGGGTACGGCCGAGCTTAAGTGGAAAGCAGAATGTTAAGGATTCTGTCTAACAGATCTAGTATACGATGAGCTAAACATTTTCTGGATATCGGTGTCGATCAATTTTACAGTTGAAGGTAAGATGACAAAAGCAGTTCCTAGCTTAAAATAGATAGCCCAGCTTTTTTTCAGCAACTGCCGCGATTATCTCGAAACTTATTCGTACTAAGTAAATGATGTCTTCGGTGATATAAGCTCCCAAGCCAGAACGAACGATTTCTAAGCACCAGAAAAGGAGTCATCTTATTAAAAAAGTTGATATTCCCTCCTCTGAACTACGTCTAGAATAAACTTACGGGGCGCTAACAATAAGACATTTGTGTGAGTTTGTGGAGAACGCTATTATTGAAGATGTAATTTAAAACATCTACTTTATGTAACATTATTTGAGATATTATAGGTAAAATGATATTCCACTTACTTTTTTTCAAAATCCTGTCACTTCACAATTCACATCACTCACTCACAATATAGTCCTAAAGAGCTGACCGTCCGGTCCGTTTTAGGATTAGATTAGTTTGATCTGCAGTGCGATTACGCAAAACCAGTCCGCGGACAGACGATCGAGAGGCGGGGCTTGAAATCCGTCCGCCAATCAGAACGCAGGATGATCTGGAGAGGCGACAGCAACCCCTAACAACGACGAATAGGAGAGATACGTCGGAATTTTTGTTCTATTGCAAAGAGGGACGGTATCTCTTTATAGAATGTGCTGGTGAAGAGATTTTTAGAGGTATTCTATAGCTTTACGACGGTTGTAAAGCATTAACGAGGTGATTTCGGATTTATAATGGGTGGGATCGAGCTTTCTAGAATCATTTCTTAGCCACACAAAAAAATGAAGGTCGACATCCGTGATACAGACCATGATATCCTTATATATTTAAATCTGCTCAGAAAAGTTCCTAAACCTCCAGAATTCACACCCTGGCCTAAGAACTACCCCTAGAAGAGATTAAAATTGAGTTTCGGATGTCAGATGCTGCACCATGGTATTTTTATGTATTTATCGACACTAAATCCGAATTTGCGGTCGAAAAGATTCAGATGTAGTGACAAAAATACGTGAGAATGCCATGCTCCAGCATCTTGCATCCAAAACTCAATTTCAACCCCGCTTAGGAGTTGTTTTTAGACTCGGGGTAAGCAGTAGGGTTGTAGAGATCTTTTCATCCACAAATTCAGATTTAGCGCCGAAAATACATGGTTAACATCATGTACCTACCACCATCTGGCATCCAAAACCCTACACCCTACCCCCCGTAGGAGTAGCTTTTATGTCCGGTGATGAATTCTAGACGTTTTTTCTGGTCCCGGACTCGGATTCAGGGCCCCATAGAGTTATCGGTCTGTCTCACAGGCCTCGACCTTTATTTTTTTGTGGAGCTACTGTGTTATATTGACGAACGGTTTTATTGATTCCTGAATCCACTATATCAAGCAAATTTTCCAGAATAGCTGTCAACAATGTCAAAGTAGATGTGACGGTCGCAAACATCCGCAACGGAGAATCATAGCGACCTGAAGAGAGACCAAGATCGTGGTCCCAGGGGTCCAACAGTAGAGAAACCATGCGGTTTTAAAATCCTGAGGCTTCTGGCGTTTATCTGCGAGTTGTAGCGTCCAAACTCGCTGAGGCTCAGGGCCCCTTCAGCGGTAGGTTTAGTCCCTCAGAGACATTATGACCTGTTTTCCAGAAAGATAAATCCGATCCAAAGCTTGCCGGATCGCAGTACTTTAATGTTCTATTTTCTATTAAGTACTACTAACCTGAGAAATCCCCATTATTTACCGGATGCCTCTGAACAGAGCCTACATTTCTTCTTCCTAAGTAAATTATTTACAGGCCCACGAAAATTTCACTCAGAATCCAGAGTACACGTTCCAGAAGGTTTTTGGTCAATCAATATTATCTTGATCAATGCCATGAACGTACTTGCATATTTTTACACGGCTGTTAACCCTAGGCTGTACTCAAGAAAGCGCACAACGTAGATCACTAGCAATACCGAGCTTGCTTCTTATAGCGTGTGCGTCAAAGTTGTGGTTTGAATTATAACACACCAAAAATTTAATAAAAATTTAATGTATTTTTTTGGTAACTAAAAAACCCATAAAACTTTAACACTTAATCCATAAAATATATAAAACTTACTCAAACCACAAGCCCACAACAACTAAAAAATATCTACTTTCTTCTGGCAAAAGCTGAATCAAGAGGATTGTTGTGGGAAAGAGTTGGATATTGCAAGCTAGATCAGTTAAATTTTTATCAGAAAAAATAGTATGCAATTGAAAGTAGGAACGTTAAACTCGGCCTTGATATGGTAATGCTTGTGGGCACGTGTTTTTGGTAAGTTTTAGATATTTTATGAATTTAATGTTTTGGGGCTTTTAGTTGGCCGGTCTTAACTCATAAAATTACATTGAATTGTTATTAAATTTTTGGCGTATAATCCAAACCACAACTTTGATGTACTCGTAATCATAACGTGTGGAGCATTGGTTTTCATATTGGGGGGCACGCCTCTACATCATTGTCTTAGGTTGAAGGGGGCGCAACTAAAATTAGTTAAAGAACCTCTGGTGTAAAGTATAAAGTATAGTGAAATTCAGAAAAATAAAAACTTCGAAGTGCCGTATCTAAGCGAAAGAAAAAGATATTTGATCAAAATCAATGCATTTGAAAGGGCAAAACTTGTACTTTGAGATGATGACAATGGTTTTTTAGAAAAAAAATTATTTGTCATGCCCTGAATATAGGCCAAAATCGATATTTTTAGGATACCTCGAAAAATAAAGCCAATTGAGAAATATGGACCACGTATTCGGATTCAGCGCATCAAACGCCTTCAAAAAGTATACTCTTGGTAAAAATCGTGTCTGCCTGTGTTATGACCCTCGATTCAATCTCAATACAAGTTGGACAACTTTAGCAGAAACAGCTAATGGATGAGTTTCAACATCATTTATATTGGTGACCATCGAATAAATAAATAAACGTTTTCTGCTATCTGAGAAAATCATACTAGTAGTCCTTATATTTAGTAAAAGGTTGCGTTCTACATGTTTCATATATACTATTCAGTTGCCACCAAAGAAACGGCATGAAATAATATTAACCGCATATCGTCTAGAATTCGCAAATTAGTCCCATGTTCTCTGATAACCGTAAACCCTCGGAACACATGGCCGAGCAGAAACTATTAAAACCCTACGCCGTTTAACCTGCGTTTCAGCCTGGTATGCCTACTATTCCGAGCCCATTTCTTCTTTTTTTTTGCCAATGATTTATATCTTCGTAATAATTCACGATCAATTAGTTCGAAGCTTTTTAACTCTAACTGAAATTTGATACCGAGATATTAAATGTGACGTGTAGGTCCACACATCTTGTATCCCGTTTTTAATCATTTCTGCCATTTATCAAGAACTCCCGATTTGCTACTGGGAAAATGATCGATGGTAGAAGTGAAAACATAAGGATGTGTACCTATTTATCTGAGTGACAGCTGATGCCAAGGCGATCATTTATTTTGTTTTAACAAGTTTTCTACGCTTATTTACCTAGGTCCATCTGGCCGGGGCAAAAGCAAACGAAACTTTTAAACTGACGATTTGATTTGTATCCACTTTTTAGCACACACGGCACTGGCGAGGAAGTATTGTGATCGCAAAAAATTTTAGAATGAGATATTATGTTTTTTGAGTGTTATATGACATGTTCGTCACGTCAAGACCATGTCCGTCGGTCTGTAAGTCTGTCCGCTAATCCTTGGCCTGTCTTTAACTTGAGGAGCACTGCTCGGATTTTAAGGAAATTTTTACTTACGATTACTACTATGCATGCCAAGGACGAAAACGCTTTGCAGCTTTTGAAAATATGTCTAGAGCCAGGGATAAAATAACGAAAAAAAATATTGCTCAAACTTCGGTATTTGACGTTTCAGAGTCTCCTACCTATTTTATAAATATCTGTAGGGGTTAAAAATTTTAGGTTTAGGTCTAAACTTTACCACCCTGTTCCTCAAAAGTTAAAACATTAAGAGCATACGTTCATTTGCAGGTTTTTCCCTGAACTGGACCCAAAAATCGCCCCCTCAAATACTGATATTTAATTAAGAAACACCAGGTATTGCTAGAATAGTATAACAAGTAACCAAAAATTCTGCTCGTTGTTTAAGAAGCACCATCATAAAAAGGGGTTTTGTACTTTATCATCATTTGACTGGACTATAAAGTTAATGCGTTACATCTAACGCCTAATTGCACTTCGTTACGCGTTGCGAAAAAGGGAAGGACGACTGTGTGATTTTGTGTCCGATTCGATCTTTCATCACAAGGACAATAGGACTAATTGAGGGGTAGGCACCCCCTACGTGAACACCTGTTCTTATTAGAAGGCGCCACGGATACAATGAGACTAATCGAGAAGGTGCAATGCCAATGAAGTTGTTTATTAAAGAAAATTGTTTAGGGGATATATATATATATATAAAGAGAGAGAGAGAAAGAGAGAGAGAGAGAAATGGATCATGTGGAGAAAGGTATTATAACAAATAGAACTTGGTGTGCCATTTTTTTTCCTGCTCATCTTTGTTTCCTCAGGTTACACCCATATACGGATGTATGGGCATGTGTATCTACTTTTGTAGTTCCATATGTGCATTCATTTCGGGCCTGATGAAGCCAACCAGCAGTAATACGTATCGCTCGGGTTACCTAGCTTATTTTCTGCTCGAATCCACTTTCCTTCTTTTTGCGGATTTTGCCAATTATTTTCCTATTTTTTGTTATATACCTTTCTCCGCATGATAATTTTCTCTTTGTAGATCCTTTGGGCTTGAACTACCACAGCAAGTGGCTATAACCGGCTGCGTGGTTAGTTGTTGCCTCGAAAATTCGAGGTCTTCTAGCCTTTTTATACTACAATGTGTAGTAGGTTGGCTCTTGTTGTGAACTTCGTGTGTCATTTTTTCCCTCTCCATCTTCGTTCCCTCAGGATACACCCGTATCCGGATGTATGGGCATGTGTATCTACTTTTGCATCTATATGTATCTACTGTGTGCATTAACATTTTGTAAAATCAAAATCGGGGATTCTTTCGGCTTAATGAGCTTGGGCATTCTACTCGGCATCCCAGGTGCGGGAGTGTATCTACTTTTGTAGTTGCATATGTGCATTAATTTCGGGCCTGATTAAGCCAACCAGCAGAAATACGTATCGCTCGGGTTACCTAGCCTATTTTACCTGCTCGAATCCACTTTCCTTCTTTTTGCGGATTTTGCCCATTATTTGCCTATTTTTTATTGTATACATTTCTCCGCATGATTATTTTCTCTTTATATATATATACGTATATACGAGTATATATATAACAAAAAAATAGGAAAATAATGGGCAAAATCCGCAAAAAGGAGGAAAGTGGATTCGAGCAGAAAATATGATAGGTAACCCGAGCGATACGTATTTCTGCTGGTTGGCTTCATCAGGCCCGAAATGAATGCACATATGCAAC